GGATTTAAAGGTGGAATGTCAAGATACCAACAACTTTTAAATGGTTCAGCCATAATTTTGTGTGTGTGTGATAAAGAGAAAATGGAGGAAATAGTGTGACAGAATGTTAATAATTTGGGAATCTACATGGAGTATACTTGTATTATACTATTTTGGTGGTGGTGGGGTAAATTGGAAAATGTTTAAATAGTTAAGGGGCAGAGTTGAAGAGTTGCTTGGTTAAAGAAGTAGACACCATTCCATGAGCCACTAGGATCTATGAGGAAGTTTTTATCAATCTAACACAGGAAAAATAAGGACAACAGAAAAAACTTTTCATGAAAGTAAATGTGTCTTAATTTGGCCTATTCTTACAATAGATTGTGCCCTTCTATCCTTGTGCCTAATTTCCCTTAATGGAAATGATGATTGTAGTAGTGACAGATTTCCTGTTTTAAAAAAGTCTGTAAAAGCGAAGTGTGGAAGGAGCCCTGGAGCAATGAGTCAGTTCACTCATTCATTCACCAGATAGTTAATGCGCACCTGCTATATGTCAGCCTCTCTCCAGACTCTGGGAATTTAGAGATGAACGAGACAGAGTCCTGGCTCATCCTTTTACAAAGATGTTCACTTTGTTTCCCCCAAGGACTCTTGGGGACACAGGGTGGAGAGGGGGCACTTAAGGAAACTTGAGTCAGTCACTAGGCATTCTCCTGTTTCAGCCAAATTCACCCCATTTCTCTCTTTTGTTTTTTTTTTTTTTTGAGGCACTGCTTAAGATGTTTCAAAAGAATTCTGCCATATGTAAAAAAAAAACTTGAAAAAATCACTTTTCTTTTTTTTTTTGGTAAAGGAGTTCATAATAAACGTTTTTGGCCATTTCTGCCTAAGTATCTTTAAAAATGTTTCATAAAGTAAATGTACTTGACTAGGCAACTGTCTGTAGTTGAAATCCTTGTAGGTGTGATGCTTTTTCTGCTCCTAGAGCCTGAGGTTGGGACTGATGAGGTGAAAGCCAAAAGGTACCTCTGTGACCTTTGGGCAGATATGCTTAAATTGCTGTGCTTGGATGTAAACTCCCTCATTTTCCAAATTTTCTAACTAAAGAGCTCTTATTCCTTGCCCAGTCTGGGCCAGTTCTTGGACATCAAATCTCTATCTCCGTGCTCTTATGGAAAGAATCGCTAACCTGGGTGGCAAAACATTTACCTGGTTTTGTTAGAGTGAATTCTCATCTAGGTTCATGTTGAATTTTTTTAAATCCCTCACATGTGAGTTTCATGGTAAAGAAAATGAAAAAGGTAGATGTGGTACTGAGTTTGTGTTGTAATTTGGCTTCTTGGGCTCCTAAATGTTGAGATGGCAGTGTGCTTTTGATTTATTTATATATTTTGAAATTTTATTATTTTTAATTGAAGTATGATTGATTTACAGTATTGTCTAGTTTCAGGTATACAGCATAGTGATTCAGTATTTTTGCAGATTCCATTATAGGTTATTACCAGATAATAAGTATAACTTCCTGTGCACTCTAGAATATCCTTATTATGTATCTATTTTATATATAATAGTTTGTTACTCCCATACCCCTAATTTGTCCCTCTCCCCACTTCCTTCTCCTTTTTAGTTACCACAACTAAATGTTCTATGTCTGTGAATCTGTTTTGGTTTAGATATACATTCATTTGTATTATTTTTTGGATTCTTCAAGTAAGTGATAACATGTTTGTCGTTTTCTGTCTGACTTATTTCATTAAGTATACTGTTCCCTAAGTCCATCCATGTTGCTGCAAATGGCAGTATTTCATTCTTTTTTATGGCTGAGTGATATTCCATTGTGTAGATTTACTACATCTTCTTAATCCAGTCACCTGTTGATGGGTACTTGGGTTGGTTCCATGTCTTGGTTATTATAAATAATGCTATTTAAACTTTGGGGTGCATGTATCTTTTAGAATTAGTGTTTTCATTTTTTTCCAGATATATACCCAGGAGTGGAATTGCTGGATCATATGGTAGTTCTATTTTTAGTTTTTTAAGAAACCTCTATACCATTTTCCACAGTGGCTGCACCAATTTACATTCCCAACAACAGTGTTGGTTCCCTTTTCTCCACATCCTCTCCAACATTTGTACACCTTTTGATGATGGCCTTTCTGAGAGGTGTGAGGTGTGGTTTTAATTTGCATTTCTCTAATGATCAGTGATGCTGAACAGCTTTTCATGGCCTGTTAGAGAGATGATAGCTATTCTTGAATGCTTTATGGCAATAATAACACTTACAAAACACTTGTTACATATAAAACAACTCTGAGCTCCCTTAAGAATTTTTAAAGTTTCTTCATGTATGTTATAGTAGATCAGTTTCCACCTCCAAATTATGATGATCAAATTGGTCCCCTTGTCATTACCCATCAGGAGGGAGCCCTGGTGGTGGTGATATACAGTCATGCAGATGAGCGTCTTTTAGGGTGTCTGCAGAGTAAACCCAGGTAATTGGTAAGCACCAAGTGACCTGAGTGATTCCTTTCAGTATTACTGAATAAGCTTTTTGAAGAGTTCTTAAGAAAACTACAAGAAAGCACACCAAAAAAAAAAAAAGTCAAATACCTATGTTCCCACCAACCTGAACAGACAACTGTTAGCGTATTAGCATCTTTGTTTTGCCAGTGTGTTTTTTTGATACCAGAATATGAACTCTTGGAATGCAGGGACTTCATCTAGCTTAGTCACTGCTATACCCAGGCCCCTTCTCCAGAAGTACCCAGGGCACAGTAGGTGCTCAATAAATATTTGTTGAATCTTAAATAAAATGAAATAGTACTGATAAAGTTGTGGCCTCATTTGACCACTCCTGATAGCCTCACTCTTCTTCCCTTTCCTCAGAGGCACCACTGTCATGAGTTTGGACACTATTTAATATGCTCAAGCATACATGTTTTCATGAACCGTATATAGTGTTATTTTGTATGTTTTTAGAATTTACATAAATGGCATCATAGCGTGTGTATCTTTCTGAAACTTGCTTTTTTTCACTATTATCTTTTGAGATTTTTCATGTTGCTGTAAAGTTTTTTCCCCCTTTTAACTGCTGTTCCATCACTGAATATACCTCATTTTAGTTATCCATCCCCTTATTCAGTAGGCTTTTAGATTGTTCCCAGCTTTTCGCCATTGTAGGTCTACTAATGAAGGCTCCCTCTCTACCCAGTTTTTCTCGTTGGGAATAGAAGAATGAAAAGAGTGATACTATTACTGATGCTTATAATCACTACCTGTTATTGAAGTACTGTGAGGTCACTGATTGGCACTATAGTAAGCACTTTATATTCATTATCGTATTTCATCCTCGTAGCAGTTTATTTTACAAGCTAGAAAACGAGGCCTGACTTTACAAAAACATTGACTGGAGTTCCACAGCCGTTAACTGCTTTGAGCTCAGTTTCTTGGATGCCAAAACCTTGAGCATGAGACATACTCTTGGGAGAGGATGACCTCTCTTCACTCACTAGTTGTCCTTCCCTCGTCCTGAAAGGGAGATGCTGAAGTCAGTATGTTAAGTGAGTTCCGAAAAGTGTGCAGGAGTAGTGAACTAATGATCTTTATTTGTTTGATAAGTTGAACTGTCTGTTGCCATGGTTTCCATCTTGATAGGAACATTTTTTTTGCTTGCCTTCCATTTTAGGAGTTGAACCAATTGAAAGCTTTATCACCTTCACTTATAATGATCTTTAGGTGAATAATTGGGACAGAGTTATTTGTCATGTTGAATTAAGCTTTCACAAAGAGAAAGAAAGTCTAAAATTATCTATGGGACTTAACCATCGGCTGTAACTCTCCTATGTCTGTATCCATAGTCTCACCTTGAAGGAGGCTTTTCACAGGATATGTAGTTACGACAGGGGCAAGAGTCTTCATTTCGGACAATTCAAGAATATTTGAAAATACATTTTTGCTTTTTCTCCTTTCATTCAGCAAGGCTGTTTCCAATCTAATTTAATGTATCATAAAATGAGGCCTATTTGAAGAAAATTAATAAAATATGAAATTAGAAATCTGGGGATTGAGACTTTTTCAGGGCCTTGCTGATGGAAGCCTTTCTGATAAGCAAATACTGCTGAGGATGATAATGCTGATGGTGGTGATGGTTACGGGAAGCCCTCTACTTGTGGGTCACCCAACTGTTAACATTCCCAAATTGAGGAGCCCTGTTGTATTTTCATCCTGTTGTAACTGAGAAGAATTGACACACACAAAATAAGGAACTTAAAGAAAAAAAAAAAAGCCATCCCCACGTAGATAGAGTAGGTGGCCTTTCTCAGAGTGTGTTTTCAGGTTTGGAAAAGATTCCACCCACCCTCATACTTTGCTTTCACAAAGCCTAACATTCTATAATAGGATTTTCTGGTGTTTGCTATGTTTTTAAAGGCTCTTTTATAAATTTTCAGAATATTAAGAAAATGCCCTAACAAGTGTCAGTGATGACCAATGAGGTTTTAAAAATTATTCAATTAGAGATTTAATATGAAATGTAAGGTGACCTAAATTCCCACCAAAGTATGAGGTACCATCAATATCAGTGACACTATAGGTAGGTAACTATGTTAGATTTTGGCATCAGATCCTTGCCTGGAATGCTTTGATGACTGAGAGGGAGAGAGAACTTTTAAAGCTACTGCATCACAGTGGGTAAGATAGGATGATGGAAAGGAATGAACCTGCCCCCGCCCCACCCCGAAGGGATGCTTAGATGTGTGCACAGATACACTGTCCCCACTTCGTTGCTGGGACTAGCCCTGTGGCCCAAGAACCAAAAGCTGCATGGAGTTTGCTAATATCCATCCAGTGTTCTGTCCACCAGTTAGTGCCTTTGGAGCTAATGATGTCTCCATTCCCCAAGTGGTGTTAATACCTGACAGAGTTGGTAGAGGACACTTTGCATGCTCTTAGCAAAAGAGGTAATATTTCTGAAGAGTTTCTGCAGTTTTCAAGCTGTAATTGTGCTTCTGCTTATAAAAAACTAAGTTGGATGCCGTAAGCTAATAATAGTTTGGCCTCATTCTTGCCTCTTTCCTTTGCTATGAAGGCTTTTTATGTAGCTTTTCTGTTTGCGAATGGTGTCTCCCCTCCCCTTTTCTTGTAATGCTGTTGCTTTATCTCTCTTCCATTCATATTTTTTTCCTTTCTTTTTGCTGCATGGAGACTCTCTGCTGTACAAGTGTAAGTATTTTTTGGTGGCTCTGCAGATTCTGGCTGTACTAGTTTACATTCTTGTGCTCCATTTGCTTCCCTGCTGCCTGGCTGGTCTCCCAGGAGACTGTAGTGTCGTCATCCATCTGTGGATCCTGAATGAAATAGGCAGCAATTTAGAGACAAGATGGGATTTTACAAGATGGTTCAGCTAGCAACACAGGTGATGAATTTAAAATATTCCCAGCCATGTGCCTGAAAGCAAGCAGAGTGTTGATGAAGAGGGTATAAAATTCAAGAGGAGAAAAGTGCTTACTCCAAACATGTTTTAAAAAAAAAAGACATGATTACTCACACTTCTAGGGTTTTTATTTTCTGATTCTTGTCATATTACTTGTTTCCCACAGTTGTAGAAAATCAGCATCATAAATACCTTCTTATATTAGAAGAATTTTACTAATCTGCTTTCCAACTGTTTTTTGGTTTTTGTTTGTTTGTTTGTTTGTTTTAACCTCAAGGAAAAGTAATTAAGGATTCTTGAGCTTGGAGTGAGAGGGTTGTTTATTATTCTTTGAGCAAACTTGGTAAAATGAACAAGGAAACTACTCCATCCTATTTTTCTGGTGATAGAACCAGTTTAACTCTCATTTAAAAAAAAATAGTATGTCTGGGAATTATGTGTTAAAATGAATAAACATGTTGTTTGTAAGGGTCTAATATTAATCCTTAATTTGTGGTAAAAGTGTGTATATGTATATATGTATGTATGTATGTGTGTGTATGTATATAAATGTGTGTGTGTGTGTGTATATATATCTCACTATTGAGCTACCTGGAGAATAGTTTTAAATCCATTATAAAAATTGGATCAAATGAGTAAGATTTCCAAGCAGTGTAGACATTGTGCTGCTTTTGGATTCTTAGAGAAGAGAGGCATGCATTCTGTTCACTGTCTGCCACAGTGGGGATTTATTCATGTTTGTGATGTCAGAATAAGTATGTTTAGGGTTTTCCTTCTCAAGTTATATTTTAAAGGGCTCATGTTCCTCATGTTTCCTGAGGATGTGAATATTGAAAATTCCTTATTATTCATAAAATGCACTTTTGAAGATAAAGTAGTTCTGTCTGGGCCTTGAGGTCATAGTTGGCCGTGTTAATCCTCAATTGATTTATGGAAGGTCCATTTGATGTGTGTACCTCTTCCGCTTCCACTGCTGCCCCTTTTCATCTGAAGGGCACTTTGTGATTTCTCTGATCAGAAAATACTTAGGCATTGACAAATGTCCAGGAAAGGTAAATGAGGACTGAAAAAATAATCTGAGAAAATTAACTCTTTCATTTTGGTACGAAAAGGGAAGAGAGTAAAGGTAAATCTGGATGGTAAAGTCAAATTTTTTTTTTCCAGGATGTAATTCATCTAACCAACAGGTGTGAGAAGGGGGAGGCAAGAGTCCATATAAACTGTATTTCTAGAGAAACATACAATATTTGTTCTGAAATATACACTTAGGTGGATGTTCACAGCTCATCCTTACATTTCCTCTTGCTTTAAATTCATATGTAATAGAATCACAGTAATAAGCCAGTACGTTGAGCAAGGCCATATTGTCTGTAAAACTGTTAAGGAAGAAATAATTGTAAAGAAAAGAAAGAAAAATATGAAAAAATAAAATTCATTTTTTTCTCCATTGTTATATTTGAACCCATATTCTTTCCCATGAGAGTAAGAGATTACAAAAATTGTTCATCCATCAAAAGAAACATAAAATTGGGTTGCATTCTTAACACCAATTGTGGAAACTAGCCTGACTGCAAGCCCTGCCCAATTTAGCAAAAGGCCGCTCATTGGCCCTGTCCAAACATGGCAAAACTTAAGAACTAAGACATGTCAAATACAGTGAAAGAGTTTTATGTGAAATGCAAAAGTTGTTAGAAGTTGTATGCTATTAAGGAGCATATCAAATGAAGGAAAGCAGTGAAAACGTATTAGAATGCTTTGTTCTGATAGTCAAATTTCATATACTAGGTTTTGAGGCATTAGAAAGCTAGACCAAGAAAGGCAAAGTAGTTTCCCTTTGATTGATGTCAGCCATCAAAAATCCTGATGATTCTGTATGTTTCTCAGTATGCCTGTGAAATTAGGTTGAGCTGAATGATCTGTTTACAGATAGGCATCAGTTTCTACATGAGCTTCTATCTTTTATATATATTTTTATATATAATTCTATATGTATTATTTATATATTAAAATGATAATATATTCGAAATGCCATTATTGTCATGTTTTATGTATTTGGTATTTCTTATAAAGGCTAAATAGGGAATCTTGACCCAGATAATTTTTGCTCATCTTTTCTTATTTTTGCCTTCTTTTCTTGTAAAATCTAATCAAGAGTCAGAGAAAAATTATGGAAGACATCTTCATTCTATGAATTTTTTTTTAAACTTTCCTATTTAGTTGTGACTATCTAAATGAGTTGGCTGGAAATTATATCCCAAGCTATTTCTTGATCCTGTTACCTATGGAGGTTGTGCACGAAGTGGACAGAATTACTGAAGAAATGTTCATGACTAAACATAGCATTTATTTTGGTATTTTGTGTCTCCTGAGAATTATTTTTAGAGGTTTCATTTGGTAATAGACCAGTCAGGCCATTAACTTTTTCAGCCAACGGCAAGGCCAGTTTTAGAGAGAACTACGTTGAAACCGGATTCCTTTCCACTTGCATCGGATTGGTTGTGTTTTTATTGAACCTGCAAAGCTCAGTGTTTTCTAAAAAGAGTCTTCTGATTGTCTGTTTTTAACAAAACCTTGAAAGAATTAAATCAGCAAGTTTCACTCTGTATTTCAGGAAGACCAGTATGGATTTAAATTCCATTGCTCATTATTTTTTATTTCCCTTTTCTCACAATAATAAATAATAGCAAAAGGATATTATTATTAAAACTGACATAAAATTGTCAAAACAATAAAGCTGTTTGCTTTGAAGGTCAATAGGAAACAATTTGTTCTTTGAACTGAAGAAAGTTTATCAATCTTGTGAATTTTTTTTTTCTTGAGAAAGCTTTCAGTGACAACCTATTAAGGGAAAGGGAAGTCTCTAAACTAAGTTCTTTCAGTTATATTATCTCTTAGTTTACACAAATGCCATTTTCCAGTATCAAACCTGTTAACATCCGTAAAATCCATCCATCTGTATATTGATATAACAAGTGATGAGGTGGGAGGGATGCTAAGCTGACCTTCTGATCTGGGTCTGTCCCTGGCCCTGCTCCTGTTGACTCGAATGGTGGTCTTTATCATCTCCATGACTCAGTTTCTTCCTTGGAATTTGTTTGTGGAGGTGATGACAAAGGTCCTCTCCAGCTTTGACCTGTGTTATCTGATTGAGGGAGAAGCTAATGTCTTCCTGAGGTTTTGCTTTACATAATCAACAGTTGACAATAATACTAGAAAGATGCTCTTTGGAAGTTTTGGCCATGGTTTGGGTTTTGGTCTCATTTTGTAAAGGACAGGCAGGATCAAAGACATCTTACTGAGAAGTGACAGCAGATACAGACTTCTAAATCATGGCAACTTTTTCCTTTGGTCTTTGGTCTGTGGTCTTTGCCTATAATGTAAAGATCAAAATCTTTGTGGCAGAAGTGTGAAACAAAAGTTACGCTGCTTAAATCGTTAAGAAGATAAAGAGTTCCATGTTGCTTACATTGACGTTGCTATGATAATGAACGGTGAATAACTGTGTTTTCAATTTTTAGTGATTGATTTGTACACTCTTTCAATTTTATTGTTTATATCAGTTCTAACATCTTCATGTGCCACTTGGAATCAAATTCTATATCATTCATTGTTCCTTTTAGCTATATAAGTAGAATTTAACTGAATAGGGCCAGAGGAAGGAGTAAGTGGGCTATCTCATTTGAGAAAATGGTAAATATTTAGAAATGTTTTGGCTTAGTCTTTTCAATCAGGCTGTCAGATGTTACTAACCATCCTCGAAAGAAGTAAAACAAATACTGAACTTAAACAATTGATCCCAAATATTAACACTCCCCGCAATGTTGCTGAAGCTTCAAAGTCCAGTCTTCTGGAAATTCCTGCCTAAGTACTTTCTTTACTTTATTGCTAGATGACTCCTAAGTCCAAGAGGAAGACTATTCACAGCCGAATGCTGCGGCCTGTTTCCAGGGCCTTTGGTAAGTGAGGGTTTTGCTAATGCCGGTCATTTCCTTACAACTGTGAAGCACACTCAGTAAGGACCTCGGACCATTTCACAGATATTTCTTAGGGATGTTCTCAGTGAGTAAACACTGAGAAAGAGTTAAGTGATTTGTGAATGGGTGTTTGCTATTCCCCGATAGATTTAAAATTACTTTGAGGGGTCTTTTATTCATCTCTTTATAGTAAGCTTCAGCCCTGGGCTTTGCTTTGTTTTAGAAATGGAGTTTGATCTTGATAAAGCCCTGGAAGAAGTGCCCATTCACATCGAAGACCCGCCTTTCCCATCTGTCAGACAAGAGAAACGGAGCTCAGGGTTTCTCTCTGACTTGCCCTCTGAGGAAGGAAAGAAGCTGGAGCACTTCACCAAGTTAAGACCAAGACGGATCAAGAAGCAGCAATCTACCCAAGCAGCGGTAAGTGGACTGGAGATGCCCCTTCCCTCTCTCACTCCGTCTTCCTTGGTGGGGAACGCCTGAGAGTCTTACAAAAACACCTTGCACATGTGAAAGCTTGCAGTTAAGGAGTACAGAACCTGTTTGTGTGCATTCACATGGAATATCTCACTTAGTGCTCAACAATGTTGGAAAAGGTGACGCTGTACAGTTCTTGACTCTTTCGGACAGAGTTGATCCTTGGAAGTCCTTAGAAAAATATCAATCACGTGGGTGAGATACACAGGCTACATCTATAAAATTTTAGTGTCCGAGTGTTAAAAGATGGAAAATAAGTACCAAAGAATTGCTTTGTGATTAAAAATTGCATTTGATTTTGGACCGCACACATATACTCCTGTCTTCATATTTCTGACCTGTGCTGGTGCCCTGGCTTTTGGTAACTGAATGGTGGAGAAGAGGCTGTGCATGGGGAACCGCGCAGGTGGTGTGACTCTGAATGTCTTGCTCTTTCTACTCAGGAGAGGACTGAACTGTGGGTGCTAATGAGCCTTAATACAGTTTATGCCATGGTCATGGGTCTAAATAGATCTGGCTTCTTCCCAGAGGCTTGGTGGACTGAGAAACCTGCCACAGCTTGCTTTCCCTTGGGTTCATTGTGAAAATACAATACCTTACGGTTTCACAGTCCTTGCGATTTTCAGAGTGCTTTTGCATCTAACAGCACTGTGAGGCTGCCACACAGCCACCATAGTCCACGTTTTTCAGTGGAGAGTGAGAAGTTTACAGTATTTAGTAGCCGCAGTCATTTAATATTATTGCTCTGTTGTTTGCTTTGATGGATTGAGTAGCCTCAGTGTTCCCTAAATCAGTCTTAGCTTTTCTAGAGCTTGTGCTTGACGTCTGATGCCCCAATGGGCTTTAGATGTCACGTGTCAGAATTCTCAAGGCCAAGGTATGGAGATTGTTTTTACTTTCAACATTTCTGGCACCAATTGCATTTTTCATCAGATTTTCTCCTGAAAATATTTAACTACCTGAAGGCCTATTCTGCCAATTTTCCCAGAGCACAGGGAACCTCATTCCTAATCTGCACCCTAAATTCCTTTCAAAATGTGTTGAAGGTCAGTGACTGCGATGGCTAACGGCTTAATTCTTATAGAACCACGTGGTGAGAGACATTCTTTCATTGGCAGTTGTTACTCATACTGACTGACGGGCTATAAGTCAGAGGTTCCCACAGTCCTTCTTGGCTTCCATTAATTTGCTATAGCAGCTCCCAGAACCCAGGCATTACTTACTGGATTATCAATTTATTATAAAAGGATATAACTCAGGAACCGCCAGATGGAAGAGATGCTTAGGGAAAGATATGGGGGAAGGGGCTCCAAGCCTCCATGCCCTCTCCCAGCACACCACGCTCCCTGTATCTCTGCGTGTTCACCAACAGAAGCTCTCCAAGCCTTGTCCTACTGGGTTCTCATGACGGCTTCATTGCAGTCATGACTGATATAAATAGTTGGCCATTAGCGATTGGCTCAACCCCCAGGTTCTATCAGCTCTCTAAAATTTAGGGGTGGGACTGTAAGTCCCAAACTCTAATCATGTGGGTGGTCTCTTAGATATCAGCCTCCATGTTTAGGTGGGTTCCAAAGTCACCTCATTAGTATAACCAGAACACCTCTATCATTCTCATCAGTTAGGAAATTCTAAGGGCTTAGGAGCTATGTGCCAGAAATGGGGATAAAGACTAGATATATGTATTTCTTATTATAAATCGCCGTATCACAGCTGTCTTCATAAAATTAGTTGGGAAGCTCTGGATCAGTTTACATATAATATAGATTTTCTGTTCCTCTCCTAGGAAGCTACCTGGGCCTGATGTGGTATCTGGGTGCTGTGTGCATATAATGCTGATATGCAGATTTTTTAAACTAGGGATTTGATCTGATAGATCTTTTGACAAAAAAATAATCAGTAGTCAATCTAAGAAAGAAATGGGAAATTTTATTTGCCAACCTGAGGAGTATAACCCAGGAAACAATCCTTCAGAAAACTTTGAGGATTGTTCTGCCCATTAGGCATCAAAGCATAGTAATAGAAGTTTTTGAGACAAAGGGTTGTACTTCAGATGACATATTGACAGGTTACACAACCAGATCTACACGTACAAAGTAAGAAGTGGGTCATTCTGATGCCTTATAAGATTAAGAAGGAAGGTTATCTTGTAAGGAGGTCTGGTTAACGCAGATGCACAGTATACTGAAGGGAGGGAGGAGGTCCAAACAGGCAGAGAAAAATTTTATGTTTAAAGTTTTCTTGTCTTGCCATAAAATATGAATTTTATTTCATCAGATCTATTCAGATTACCTAATTCTTCTTGAGACCATTTTGGTAATTGCTATTTTTCTAAGATGTTCACTTAGTCTAATTGTTCATTTAGTTGTTTATAGAATTCTTATGAATTTCTAATCTTTTCTGTATCAGTAACTATGCTTCATTTTTTTCATTTCTAATATATTTTAATGCCTCTCTTAGTTTCATATGGTCTCATTCATTAGTCTTTTTCAAAGATAGCTTCCTAGTTCTCTCAAGTTTATTAATTTTTTAAAGGAAAAGAGAGCTTGTTTATTTTATTTTTTTAATTGAAGTATAGTCAGTGCACAATGTTGTGTTACTTTTTGGTGTACAGCATAGTGGTTCAGTTATACATGTAAGTTTATTATTTTTTGTCTTAGCTTTTAATTTTATTTCCTTTATTTCCTTTTGAGTTCCTTATTCCCTGACTGGATTGCTTGGCTCTCAATTTTTCATCTTTCTTACTGTCTAATATATGCATGGAAGATTTCATGACTATTCAACCCACTAATTAGCACTCTTTGGGTATATTTGTTCAGAGTTACTAATGTACCTAATTGTCCTTACTTCCTGCCCATCTTTCCCCTTCCGTCCTGTGGAGACATTATGAGGGATTTGGCAGCTGCCTAGATATACCAAAACCCAGATATACCACCTACAGTGTTTCCCTGCTGCCTTCATCTTAATAATGCAGGCAGAGCGAGATGGGAGGGTGGTCTGAAGTGTCTTCAGTTCTCATAATCACCAGCTTATCTTTTAAACATTCACAAATTATCCCTGTAGCACTTACTTATACACCAGACATGCAAAATCTACCTCCTTTACTTCTCAAATACCAACAACAGCAATTTCTGATTTTATTTGCAAAATCCTTTCTCTGTGCACAGACGCTGTCAGTTCCAACCAGCTCAAGGCTAAGGTTTCTCCTCTCCCTTTCGAACAGCCACGCTCCCCTTTTTCATCTGCAATGTACTCTCCTTGACCGGAAAGACCCAATTCAAATGGAATTTTGAAAACTTCCGATGTGTCTATGTTCTGTCCTTCCCTTCTGCTAGAAATTGAGCTAAAACAGCATGTGTGTTTAGCTTTGACCTATTTTGACCAACCACATTTCATTTGAGTCTTGAGTTTTTCTACTGCTCTTCTGACAGGCTGCTGACACCTTTTCCTGTTTTAATAGATGCTTTTTAACCCACATCTCACTAAAGATCTCCCAGAGATGCTGGACTTCTCTTAACCTCTCTGCTCTTAATCGCTTTATCTCAAAAATGACAGAGGTGGACTGGGGGATCTAGAAGGTCCTGCCTGACCCTAAGAACTGGCCTGTGCTGCAGGAAAGCAGACTGCTTTGTTGAGCCCTGTGTGTCTCCATCTCCAAAACCCACTGATGTTACTCATGTCCCCAGAGACCTTTTGTGCTAGCTGTGAATTCTGTTTCAAAGCAGGAAAAAAAAAAGCTTGAAAGGAGAAATTATACTAGTAAAACTTTCTTTTTTTTCTCTCAAAATGGGAAGAGGAATTTGAGAGGAAGCCTCTAAGGGGAAACATGAGTGCACTGGAAGGGAGCCCCATGTTAGGACCATCTGTCCTGGGGACACATCATTCTGATCCATCAGTCCAGTGACCTATGTGGGCGCCCCTCACCCTCTGAGCCACTGTTTGATCTGGGAGTAACCAAAACCTCAGCTGAAACTATCTTTCCTTTTCAGTTCAAAGGGTAAATGCGAAGAGGAAACAGTAAACTATCAAGCACTGTACACACTTACGGAGCTATTGTAACTATAGAGATTCCATTCTCTGTTCTTTTACAAAAGGAAAAATGATAATAAAAGCAAGCTCTGTGCAACGTGGTCTTTTGTAATCAAAACAAAAGTTATTCAGTGCGCTGCTTTCTCTCCATAACTGAGTTATCGAGCTTGGGTGATTCTCTGCTCCACTGCAATTCACAGGAAAGCCTTGCCCCGCTGTAAAGCACCATTCAGATGAGAGGTTTAATTGTTTTTCTTACTCACATTTCACAGAGTCCTTTGTTATCTATTAAATGCTCACCTCTCAGCATTTCACAAATGTGAACTCAAACACACGGCTCATTTTCATCACGGACGCAGCCAGTGACTAGAGTGGGTGATTGTTTCAAGCCAGTGATGGGGTCTTTTTAAACAATGCCTGTGCAGACATGAGCCGGGTTCCCCCAGAGGCAACTTGAGACTTGCAAATCAAGATTTCAGGAAGGAACTTTCCCACCGCCCTATGGCAAGACATCCAGACTAGATACCACAACCACATGGGAATGTGTCCTTATGCCCAAAAGGAATGGGCAGGTTACAGGTTCTTTCTCAGTGGCCCACAACCTGTCTGCGTGAAATATTAATCCACTATCCCAGACACAAACCCTGCATGTTACTGAGCTCACTGTGAGTTGTCCATTCAAAGAGAAATGCTAGATTGATGAATAATTTCCTTACAGCTTCTTACTAGCTTCTCTCCTGAGACCCAAGCTTTTGACGCCTGCCCAAATTTCCACAGCACCTCACACAACACTGCCTGAGGTTGGACTCATCATCTTTCCCCCCAGATCAGATCTTCGAACTGTGTTCCGAGAACTATGCGCCCCTTCACCCATGTAGAAACTTCAGCCTCATCTTAGGCTACTTCTTTCTTTCTTTTCTCATTGCCCTTGTCTTTGATTGGTCCCTTATCTCCTCCAGATGAGACTAAACAATTAGAGAAGTCTTTCATTTGTGTTCCTGAACAGATTCCCCTGCTTATAATCCCTGGCTTCTGCAAAGTATCCTTCATTCTATCCCAGAATTACCTGACCAAAAGACAAGTTAGGCCATGCCACTTCTCTGGGGCTCCCCATCACCTACAAAGTAAGTTCCACACTCTTTAGCATAGGATTCAAGGCTCTTCACTGTCGGTCCTTGTATTATTAGTTAGGAAGTATTCATGCAACTAGAGGTAATGAGAGATACTCAACTAAACATGACTTAAATAATGAGAAACATTTATTTTCTCACCTAACAAGAAATCCAGAAGTCTCAGGATCTGGGACTGGTTTATTCAGCAGCACAGCACAAGCAGCCAGGTGCTTTCCACTGTTCCACTCTGTCATCCTCTGCACACTGGCTTTTGTCCTCAGGCTCGCTTCTTCTTGAACTCCAGGCAGCTGCCACAGCTCAGACATCACATCCTCTCTCCCATAACCGTGCAGAATAAAACATACCCCTTCTTCTGCAGGAACACCTGCCCCGAGCCCCCGGCAGATTTCCCCTCGTATCTCACTGATCGGAACTGTATCACGCGTCCATGCTTACCAGTCATGGGCAAGGAGATAGAATTACTGTATTTGACTTATTCAGATAAGCAGTCATGTCTTGAAATCAGGGTTCTTCTAGCAAGCAAGAAAGGTAGCAGATGAGGCAGTTTGGAGTGGCCACTTTCAGTGTCTGCCAGGGTTTATACTCAGCAGTTTGCCTCATCCAATAAACGCAGGCCCCTGGCCAATGGAATTATTGCCATTCTCAAAATTTAGCCTGTGTGTCATTTATTCATGCATTCTCTCCACCAATAGCCCGCAATGCCTTCCTACACATTTCTGAGACATCAGTCAGTGTTAATCCTCCACCTGGCTCTGTGTTTATAGAGCATTTCTGACTTTTGTTTCTTTCTACCCTGGTTACAGTTGTATACACAGCTTCTCTTCCCGTGGAATCTGAGGGCTCGTATTTCCATCAGTCCTTCCTGTGGCCTGTATCACAGAGCCCTGAATCTAGCATGCATGTTTCCTGAATTAAGTTGAATGTAAATTAACATTATACCTGTTCAATTTGCAGGTCTGTGCCTCCAGCATAGTCTCCCAAGATGGTGAACAGAACGGTCTTATGGGGAGAGTAGATGAAGGTGTAGACGAATTTTTCACCAAGAAGGTGACCAAAATGGATTCCAAGTGAGTTCAGAGTCATTTCACTAATAACACTATTTAATTCACATTTAAATTACTGTTAACAGTTAAACTTGGTGTATATATACTAAGGCTCATTTATTTAATATAGATGTATGAAATACATATTTTTTATATGGGATTTACTGTTCTGGTGGCTTGCAAAATGTGACCTTCAGGGGAGCAACAGTGCTGTCAGCTAGGAGCTTGTTAGAAATGCACATTCTCAAACCTCTACCCCAGACCTCCTGAATCAGAAACTGGAGGTAGGACCCAGAAACCTGTGTTTTAACAAGCGCTCTGGGGTATCCTAAGGTAGGCTCAAGTTTAAGAACCACTGTACTGTTCTAAGTCAGACCACAAAACGTGGCTCTGCAAGGTGACGTTTTAGGGCCTCCTCAGGTTTACCCAGATGTGTCTTACAGGACAGTGGGCGTTGCTTGGCAGGCTGAGATTACTTACAGTTGACCCTTGAACAATGCAGGTTTGAACTGTGTGAATCCACTTATTTGCAGATTTTTTTCAATAGTAAATAATACAGTACCACACAATCCTTGGCTGGTTAAATCTGTGGATGTAGGAAAAACCTCGGATACTGAGGGCCGATTATAAGCTATATGCAAATTAACCCATGTTGTTCAAAAATCAACTGTATTTTTAAGTTCTTGTTCATAATTTGATGTAACTGGGGGCCCTACATCATTGCTCAATGGCCATGATTTAACAGACAGTGTCAAGATGACAGCAGAATTAGCAAAGAGGCTTCAGAGTTAGACGCTAAAAAGTTCTCTGTGCATATTCTTATTACTAGGATGGAGTTTCTTTAGAAGACAATTCCATGGAACTTTTATTAACAGCCTAACTTAAAACACTCCAGCTTTTGAGCATAATTTGTACCTAGTTATTTAATCCCCGACTAAATGTAGATCCATCCCCAAATACACTGTGTGTGTGGATTTGCGTCTGTGCAGTCTTCTTCACCTTGAGATATCAAATGCAGGCACGAATTTAAACCATCCTGATAAGCTGAGGGTGGGCAGGCCGGGCACAGGGAGGGAAGAAAGTAGTCAGTTCTGTAGATTGATGTGCCTTATCTTGCCTCAGCAGGATGGCGAGGTGGGAGTAAGTTAAATTTCTATATCCGTAACAGTATAACTTACTGAATGTTGTAAGCTTTAGGACCCAATTATTTGTCTTCTTTGACACTGGCCTTGAAGCTTGGCATACTAGGGAAAATTCTATTCGCCTATCCTTCAAGATTCCACCTAAATGTCATTTATTCTTTGAAGCTTTCCCCTGACTGCTCCTCCTTCCCCCACCCCACCCCAAATTAATTGCTTTTTCTCTACTGCTGACTCAACACTTTTTTTTATCCTCTGCACACATCTGTTAGAGCACATGTGAGCCTTCGAGAGTTTGTTTGGTGGGTTTTTTTTTTTTAAACAATGTGGGGAATGGATGAACAATATTCTCAATGTAAAAGAGTCAAGCAATACCAACATAAACAAAGCCAAACAGGAATAGTCTCTCGTAATGATTTTGCTTTCTTTTCTTTTTTCTTTTTTTTTCCCCTTGGGGGGAGGTAATTAGGTTTATTTATTATTATTATTATCATCATCATCATCATCATCATATTATTATAGTTTTTAATGGAGGTGCTGGGGATTGAACCCAGGACCTTGTGGATGCTAAGCACGTGCTCCACCACTTGAGCTATACGTTCCCCCCTTTTAGTGATTCACTTTCGAGTCTTTTCTTCCTGTAGAATGCTATTCCTCAGAAACAACGCCTTGGTCTTATTTTTCATTGTAATTTCAGTGTCTGATGCAGGCTGTAATACACAGTCAGCCCTCTTTCACTATTGGTTGAATGAATCAAGACAATCTTGGCCTGTATCTGTATAAAGAGATAATACCATAGGCTCTCCTCTCCCTAAACTTGAGAAATTGAGATTTAGTAACTGAGGGGTCTGTTCACGTTGGATCTGGATTGTATGTATTGTCGCTCCCAGTGTGACGTCCTCTACCCTAAAGCCACCTCCTCCTTTAATACGCTCTGAGTGAAAGTTAGACAAACTTAATAAACTGTAAAATCCACTTCCTGCAGAGATACTGCTCTGGGAGCATTCTCTTCCTGTTCCAGTGCACAAATGGAACTAGGTACATCGATTTTCGTCAAATGATGGAATCTACTAGAAGTTGTGATTTGTTTCATTTTGTTAGATAAAAACAGATTACTGTCAGTTTGATATGTAGAGGTCTAGGCATAGGTAAAACCATTAATTAGCATGGAAAAAATTGGAAAATCAAAGTTACACATGCTCGTAGTTTAAAATGTCAGATGTTCTTCAAGGCTTTTATTTAAAGACAAAAAGGCCCTTGTTTCTTTCCCTTTTCCCGACAGCAACTGTAACTGCTGACTTCTTACTGTGGAGGATGATTGTTTATCCAGTCTGACCCTACTGTCCAAGCAAACAAACACACACACTCTTCCCTCTCCCCATCATCTTACTTAGTGATGTCGTAATTGTTAGTTACACAGTGTTAATGTCCACTTCATTATGACATGTAAATATTCACAGCTGAGTTACACAGTATACTATGGTTACTCTTCCCTCCCTATACAGCTTATTATTTTCCCTGGGGTTAATAATTGTGCCCTTTTGCATTAACTTAGTTTTCTGTAATCCTATCATTGACCTGGCCCCTAGATCGCCAGTAAAAGTGTACATTTACTCTTTTTCTTTGAGTTTTCTCTGTTTCCTCTTCCTGGGCACATCTTCCACTGCTGTCTGACCACCTCCAGTGTGACCTCAAGGCCAGCTCCACTGCTGTTCTCCTGGGGTCGCCCCTCACTCCCTCCTGTGTCTGTAGCATCCTCTTCCATACCTCACTCTTATTTTGGTACAGCACCTCCTCGGGTGGCTTCCTTACAGAGGAAGCATGGGAAGTGAGTTTCTGAACCCCATACGTCTTGCATTTTCGTTAGTAGCGTGACCAGGTATAGAACTCTAGATTGGAATACATTTTTCTTTAGAATTTTGAAAACCTGGCCCCATTATCTTCTAGCTTCTAGTGTTGCTCTCAGAATCCAGTGTCATCTTGAGTCCTGATGCTTGCTTTGTGGCTTGTTTTTGTTTTTCCTCTTCTCAAGTAGCGCTTGGAATCTTTTCTGTTTCTAGGATATTGGTATTTTATGATGATACACTCTGTGTGGGTTTTTTGGTTTTGTTTTGTTGAAGCCCATTTGCTAGGCACTAATGAGCCATTTCAACCTGTACATTTGTGTCCTTTGGTTCTGGAATTTTTCTTGAATGATCTCTTTCATAATTTTTCCTTCCTTTTTCTCTGTATTCTTTTTCTTAAACTTCCATTATTCAAATTGTGTGTTTCCTCTATTAATTTACTAGGCTTTTTTTCTTTACCCTATTTTCTCATTCTTTTTATTACTCTCCCCCACAACTATCTGGGAAATTTCCTCAGCTTTATCTTTCAGCTTTGAGTTTTCCATTTCTGCTGTCACATTTTTCTATTATTATTTCTTCCCAGATGCAGCGTTTTTAGCTCTTTCATGTTGCAAGGAATGGCACGTAACACGCTTCTTGGAAGTTTGTGAGTGGGGCTTATTGACTGACAGGCTTCAATGTAGGGTGACCTTCTTGGACCATTCTGTTGGGGGATGGGGGGCGTCTTCCTAACTGTTGGAATCTTAAGGTCTTTTCTCTTGGGCTTGTTAAAAGGTTTGATCTCCTGCCTGGAGGACATTGGCCTGGTTGCCCCATTATGGGATCCAGAATGAGAGAAAGGGACTGGGAGGTACCACTGTTCAACAGGAAAGCCTGTTCACTGCAGGCTTTCCTACATAGAGGAGAAAAAAATAATTTCCCCTCTACCCTTTCTTGTTCTTGGCTGAGCCATTCTTTCCTAAAAAGATTCACAGGATAAAAACCAACAGAAACTTACTAACATGTTTACCTCCTATATACATGAGAGATAACCAGGAAAACTGAGTAACTCCCCAATATGGCCTATACTACCACCTTAAATACCATCTTAAGCTAAAGAGGAAAGAAAGTTGGGGGCAGTTTGGGGAGTTACCAGGAACCAGGTAAACAATGGTAAATAAGGTTGTTATGCAGGTTTAAATCCCTGCCTTCTCCACTGGTAAATTTATAGAGTCAGTCACCCTCCTCTCCTGGTATAGAGCAGAAGCATCCTGACAGATGGAGATTCTCCTTATAAACATAAATTTCTCTTACAAAAGGATAACTTCCACTCAGTTTTCAGAGCTTCTCCTGTGTTTGCTGGTTCTTAAAAACAATGAGAAAAATAATCCTATGCCAAAGAGGCATATTTTGGGGTGGCCCTAGGTCTCCTTTCCCTGAAATTCATTTGCTTCTGGGTCTCCCCTGCCAATGCTTCTGGGGTCAGCTTTCTCAAATTTGAAGTCAGTTTTTACTCCTAACAATTTTCGCTTCCAAACTAATTATATTATTATTTTATTATTATTATTATTATTATTATTATTATTATTATTACTTTTCTCCCCTCTTGGGCTTTTTTTTTTTTTAAATCCCTTGCTGTGCCTTTCCCTGTGGACTCAGGGGACTTAAACTGATATTCACTGTGCCAGCTCTAAGTGGAAGGCAGTGATGATACCACCCACTCAGCTTACATCGTTTACACTTTCTCCCTATCCATTTCCCAAGTTTCAGAATATTCAGAATATTCTGACAATCATCTGCCAAAGCTCCCTTTCCGTCTGTCCATGTTGTTGCCTCTTCCAGTGGTAGTACGTTTCAGCTAGGATCCAGATCCTGGTGTGGGTTGATCACACCAGGATGAGATTTCAGATGATACTGAATGATGATGGCAGGTTTTTAGGGGTTTAAGGGGAAATGCGGCCCTTTCCAGGGCCTGCCAAATTAAATAAGGCAGTCGCCCACCTATGTCTTGAGTGGCACCAGCTTTTCTGGAAGTTCTTACAAGTGGAGAGGCCCTGGACTCGGGCATTTAAACATACAACTCACCTCTGCTCGCAGTTCTCCCACTGACTCCTTCAGGTGTTCATTCTGAATCTGGGTGTGCCTGAGTTTCCTTACCTGTGGATTCCACGATCCTACTCAACTTTCCTTTCTGTTTCTGAAGTCAGCTTTTTAAAATGCTTCAGCATGGTTGCTGCAGAAACAGCAATCTCCCTTGACTGATTCTTTTGTGTGTGTATTGAGGGGGGTAGTCAGGTTTGTTTACTTATTTTTAATGGAGGTACTGGGGATTGAACCCAGGATGTCATGCAAGCTAGGCACGCACTCTACAACTGAGCTATACCCTCCCCCTCCTTGGGCTGATTCTTGGGGGAAATTAATCACAGTAAACCCAACAGGATGTGTTCTTCTGCCTCACAGGAGATGGTCAGGGAGAGGCTCAGAGTCCCACGAGCTCAGCGAAGGAGACGAGAAGAAAAAGCGAGACTTTCGGAAAAGTGGCTTCCTCAATCTAATCAAACCCCGGTCCAAACCTGAGCGGTTACCATCAGGCTTGATGGCGGAAGAGCTCTCCCCACCAAAGGCAGGTGTCAGGGGTCCAGCCGTGGACTCACCTCGGAAGGACACGAAGCCAGCCGAGCACAACGACAACGCTGATCGGACAGAGGAGATCCGAACACCCGACTCCCTAGAAGAATGTCAAGGGGAGGATGTGGGGAAGGTGGACCGAAGCGACAGCAAGGGCAGCCCCCAGGCCGGGCGAAGGTACGGGGTCCAGATGATGGGCGGCGGTCTGCTGGCGGAGATGAAAGCCAAGCAGGAGAGGAGAGCCGCTTGCTCGCTGAAGGTAAGGAAGGAGGCTCTGCTTTGACTCGGTTGCCTTCTCCGTGTTCACCTCCACTCGGTCTTTATGGGCCAGAGAGGTACAGAAAAACAGCCTGTGGCTTAAATAAAAATCCCCAAACAGAAGGCTCCTGCAGAACCACAAGGGCAGGGCTGTGTCTTCCATCTGGCACTAGGGTCATCCTCTGCTGGAGCCATAGCCTGTGAAGGTGGCTGGGGGTCCACAGGCCTTGTCCCACCTGCACAGATGCCCCTGTGCATCACAGAAATAGGTGATAGCTGTGCCAGGGAAATGCTCCATTTCAGGGAAGGACTGAGTCTGTCAAATCCAAATGGAGACCTGAGGGTGGATGGAGATAGGAAAGCTGACAGAGGCCCCCCCCCTAAAAAAAAAACAGATTCTGATGGTATCAAGGGAGACCGATTTTTCAGTTATTTCAGAATCTATGTTCTTTTCCAGACCTAAAAGTTCCTTGCTATATTCTAGATTTAAAAGTCAAAAGAAAAAACAAGGCAACCTATTCCATTAGAATTAATCAAATACTTGGATCATTGAGAGATGTTGTCTGTGGCTATGAGGAACTTTATCGTTTAAAAATTGCTGAGTCTCCCTAAAATCTGACTTAATCTATTACTTATTTTTTTGAACCTCTTTTAAAAATGTAAGTTGTGTTTTTTTATTCCCTTTTAACCTCGATTTTCTCCTGCGGCTACTTAAGGATTGTATCCTTATTGTGATCACTAAGATTAATATATTCACGTTTAACCTGGGTTTTGGTTTACTGCACGGTATCCTGAGGTCTTTTGTTTGCAAAACTGGGTTCTTCAATGAAAGGGAGATGGCAAATTTATCCTATTTGAAGTATCAGAGTAAAATAGTTCATCCCAAGGAGCCCTTGATTTTCAGAAAGTGAATGGTAAACTACATACCAGCACAGGGAGGGCTGTTTTACTTCAAATGATTATTTTTTCACTAAATCCTGCAACCCACATCGTTTTACAACTGTTCACCATAGTTCTTCCACCAGCACTGTTGTTACCTAGTTACAGGTTCCTCCTAACTCACTCATTAACCCTTAGAGGCAAGTTGAGGGGACCTAATTCTGCTAATTCAACAAGGGATGCACGATGTGCCCTTTGATGGTTACAATTCTGAGTAAATACTGTGACCACATCATTGGTGAGGCAGCTGCCCAAGGAAATGTTTAAATTTTAATCTGTTTGATAGAATTTCTTTTCAACAAGGAATGTGCTGTTTTCACTAATGAGCTGTTTATTTTATCACTGTTTCCATTGATGAATAGCTGCCTTTTGGTAGAAGGATGAGAAGCGCTGGAGGGTTTTTTGCATGTGCTTTGGATCTGAGAAATAAATTGGCTCAAAATGACAAAATTCTTATGGTTTAGTTTTAGTGGTTCGAGACTTATACTAGTAATCTTTTAGCGCCATCTAGTGTCTATTTAAAATAATAGTAATAAAAGCCTTAATATTTAGTATTTTGAACTAGTCATAGCTGTTCTATCAGAATAATAAAATGAGAAAGTTTTTCAAAAATTATTTTTAGAATATTTCCCCCCTAAAATTCCATGACTGTATTCTCTATAAAGTTAGAGACATAGCATCAAAAGTCAATATGCTATTTTTTTTTAATTTGGGGGGGGAATTGATAAAAAAAATAATACATGTTGCCTTCACTTTCCTCTGGAATAATTCTCTTTATACAATTCACTTCTATTAATGCATTTAAAAACAACTGTGAAAAATGTAAGCATGGCATTTATTATTTATTAACAAAGGAGAGTAACTAACAGGTGTTGAAAGCTTAGCGGCCGTATCTTTTCCTTCTGGGCCCACTTCATCAGCTGCCTGTGCTCAGAGAAAACTGACGTTAGGTTATTTCATCCTCATTCTGCACAGTCATTTTGGAATTTATAACTACCTCAGAAAGCCTGGAAGGAAAAAGTGAAAACAACTCTTAGGATTACATTTTATTATTATTTTTTGATGGAGGTACTGGGGATTGAACCCAGGACCTGTGCCTGCTAAGCATGAGCTCTACCACTGAGCTATACTCTCCCCTCAGGATTGATTGATTATTTATTTATTTATTTATTTATTTATTTATTTATTTAAATGTATTCATATTATATTTATATTTATTTAAATATATATTAAATATATTTATATTATAAAATATATATATATAACATTTTTTACTGATTTATAATCATTTTACAATGTTGTCTCAAATTCCAGTATAGTATTATATTTTAAATGTAGGCAAGTGAGGTGCCCAGGGTATAAAATTTAAGAAGGCCCTTACTCTCAGAAGCCAGCCCTGCACTTGCATGAGCCTAAAGGGAATTTCTCCTTAAATCTGTGCCGAGTGCCTTGCTTAACTCACCTTCACCCTGACCCTGTTTATAAATACTCCATCATTTTTGTTTGAACTCGGATACGCATGCCCCTGCCTCCTAAGAAGCTGTAAAAGGCTAGGTCAGGCACCATGCATTTGAGCACCAGTTGGCCCAGCCTCTGGACAGCTGGAGCTTGGGGGCTAAAGCGCCCTCTGCTGGTTTGGGCTGGCAGTTCCTGGCCAGTCCCTGGCCCTGTAGACACTTGTTCAAGGCTCAGAGGGCTCCACATGCAGCCCTTGGCACGGGGCTTCATTTCCTTGGGGTCACTTTTACATAATGATGTCAAATAATGTGCCCATTCCACTGCAGTATCTATGTACCCACTTCTGAGACCTGCTTAGTCCCCTCTAGCAAAAGGGGAGCTTGTATAGTCTTACTGAGAAATTGCTCAGCATCCCTACTGTGTTCCCTCTCCCTCTCGAGACAGCCGGCCACATTGTGGTAAACGTGTGGCTGTGGCAGACTGGTAAATGAGTTCCGTCTCAACTGTGTTTAAAATAACCCCTCCTATGCCATCCAGAACAATTTCAAGCTCAGAACTGGCAGCAGATATTTTTTTTTAAGTTTATCAGAAGCATGAGTTGAGCAGGAACGGACAGGCTGAAGCTCAGACTGTTATTAGTAACCACCGTGCTTCCTGGTCTACCTGCCCACCTCAGTTTCATATTTTAGGCAGGAGGGAGATGTGGATCATCTCCCCCAATAGGATTCTTAGGTATTATTATGCAAATACTGGACTGTTCTTTTTGTATCTTTTTTTGTATCTAAATGCCTTGCTCTTGTGCAGACTTTTGCATCATAAAGCAGAGGCTGCTTCCCTGATTCATCAGTTCCAGCTCCTCCCCTAAGACAGTAGCATTTAACCTTCCTTGTCTTTGCCATCAGACTCCTCCCACCTGCAGAATTTTAAAAAATTAATTCAGACCTATCTGTCTATATTTGCCTTCTCAGCAATAGATCTGTGTCTTGTGCTTCTGCCTCAGTTGCAAGGGACATCCCGCTCATTTCAGGTCCCTGTCTACTTGTCTTTGTACCCTTGAGGTCGGCAAGGTTTCTACTGCTTTTAGATGGTTGGAACCCAACCTGGAGAGGGTCCTGGAAATGTAAGAGTACCAGTGCCCCCATCACGTGGGGCACCAGGGGCTGCAGAGCCCACACAGGTGTTCAACAGGAAAGGCAGGCAACGTTACCAAGCCCGCTGGCTTCCCTTGACCCCGCACCTCTCGTCCATGGTGGGTATCCTGCAGAACTGGCCGCACTTTGGACCCAGAGCCCTGACTGTAAACACAGAACAGAATGCATTTCTCATAGCTTTGTCCCAGCAGCAGGGGCTCGGGGAGATGGAGAGGTCAGATACAGTCAGTGCAATGGCAGTAGAGTTAAGGAGCCATTATTTGTTGTCATTTATTATCTTTGTTCTTTTTCTTACACTTAAAATAACTATGCACTTTGGGGGTGGGGTGCTTGAATTTTTTAGAAACTTGGGAATGATGCTGTCTCCCAGGATTCTTGCAACCTGGCCTTGAGCAGCACAGAACGGCTGGATGGAGGTGGGGCAGGTAAGTCCAGTCATTGCCAGCATCCCCTTAGGAAAAACATTTGATTCTGGTTCCCAGAGTCACCTGTGATAGGCAGAAGGAAATTAAAGATTGGGAGGCAAGAATGGGCCTCTATGTTACATGTTCTCAGCTTTCACCTAAAAGAACACATCCCTGCACCTGCCCCAGCTCCACCTGGGGGCACATCTTCCACCATGATACCCTAGCACCTGGACTGGGCACCTCTTCCCATTTCCCAAAGGGGAGAAATTTCACTGAGAATAACTCCTAAACTGTGGGCTTCTGGGGAGACAGGGGGAGGAGAAGGGCATATGACTGATGACTTAGCTTAATTTAGTTTATTGATTATTGAAGTATAATGGAACTATACCACTGTGTTAGTTCCAGGTGCACACCATAGTGACTTGATATTTCTATACAAGATGATTGCCACAATAAGTCTAGTTACCATCTGTCACCATAGACAGATATTATGATATCACTGACTATATTCCTCAGGCTGTACATTTCATCCCCATGACGCATGTATTTTGCTCCTGGAAGTTTGTACTTAATCTCCCTTGCCCTCCTTCCCCTCTGGTAACCACCTGCTTGTTCTCTGCATCTATGAGTCTATTTCTATTTTGCTGAGGTTTTTAAAAAAATAAGCCCCACATGGTATGTGGGAGGAGACCCTTTTAATTGACATAAGAGGATGCTCTTTCCTTTTAACTTGACTATCTGTGAATATCCAATTTCCTTTGTCCCTCTGACTTTTTAGGAGTAGGAAGAGAATAAGATCCCTTAGATAGAAACTGGAGGGTCACTTCTAAATGGCACATTTGAAACCTTATTTTGCAGTTTGATTTCTTGTGTTTAGCTTTAGCATCTTCCTACAGTGAGAGTTGGAATATCACTCATATTCAACTGGCTTATTTTTGCCTGTTGTCTGAATAATTAAGGCAGCCAAAGGGATGGAGGCGGGCATGAGATGACATTCCTGGAGCCGTTCTCACTAAGCATGAGGTTATGGGCATGAGCCCAGCCTCCCTCACCCAGGACCTGCAGCCCGCCCCGAACGGATGACCCTGAACCGACTGTCACCCAGAACTGAGGCGCCTGCAGTTGGTTATACCTGTACCTTGTGTCATATCTAAGGAAGATCTGACAGCTTCAAATGCACTAAGATGGGCTCTTCTCCCTGTGCATCTGAAGGCACATGTACACTTAATATTAAATATGAGGCTTGTTATCTGTGGAATAGTCAAGGGTGATCAAAAGAGCACCATCAAGGTCACTGCTTTTCCACCAAGAATTTAAGTCTTCCACCAGCATGTTCTGATTCTAAAAACAGGCTAGGATGGCATGTTCCTGCTCTAAATTATTTTTGATGACAGATCGAGAGAACAAACTAGTGGTCACCAGTGGGGAGAGAGGTGGGAGGAGGGGCAAGATTGGGGAAGGGGATTAAGAGGAACAGACTGCTGGGTATAAAATAAGTAAGATACAAAGATGTACTGTACAGTGCAGGGACTATAGCCAATATTTTATAATAATGTAACATGGAGTCTAATCTATAAAAATATTGAATCACTATGTTGCACACGTGAAACTAATGTAATTTTGTAAGTCAGCTAGACTTCAACGGAAAGAAGGAAAGGAGAAAAAAGAAAGAAAATATCTGTGATGAGAAATGCCACGAAATGATTATAGCAGTCTCTCATATGATCAGTCTCTCTTACCTTTGATTTTTAAAGCAGAGTGAGCTTTTTTGTACCCATTTTCATTCTAGTGCCCAAACTGCACCCAGAGAACCGCTTTGGTTTGGGGATGCCAGAAAAGAATGCCAAAGCAGAGCTCAAAGTGGAGGCGGGCCCCCGGACTCGGAGCTTTTCCAGCAGACCCGCCAGCCCGAAGCCCCTCGTGCAGTCCCCCAAACCCAGCCTGCCGGTGCGGCCCACCATCCCGCAGAAACCAAGAACCGCCTCACGGCCTGGTAAGGGTTTTGCTGGTCAGGGCTGTCATGACACTGTGACTGAGGGGCACACAAAATAGCTTCCTACTGGGCAGAGTTGGGAGAAAGGAGGCCAAAAAATACTTTTAAAAGTTAAAAAAAAAAAAAAAGACTACTCAAAAGCAGGCGGTGGGGGAAGGTATATCTCAGTGGTAGAGTACGTGCTTAGCGTACACAAGGTCCTGGGTTCAATCCCCAGTACCTCCGTTAAAATAAATACATAAATAAACCTACTGACCTAACTCCTAACTACCCCCCAGCCGCCCCAAAAAAAGCAGGCTGGCATTTTTGTCAGCTGGCATGTCTCTAGTCTGAAGTAAGGAAACAGCTCTGATCAAGTCAATCCAGTTTGTAGAGTATTTTGGTTCCCCAGTTGCTAATGCTGAAAACTAGCTGGATTCCCAACGTTCTGTGGCAAGAAGCTTTTCTTTCAGTTGATTTGCTAAATGTGTTCATTGAAGTCTTAGTACTTAGTGTCTTGAGAATTATGTTAACAGGCTCATGTTTTTATAGAGCTGGAGGATTCAGCAGGTATTTGCAAGTACACCCTTTCCCCTCCTCTCTGCAGCTGGGAGAGATTGTCATGGCAAGTAGTGCTACTTTCACAGTGTCTTGTCACATCCCTGCTTCTACAGTCACATGCAGGAGACCTGAAGTGTAAGGCTAAAGAGGACCTGGCTGGAGGTTGCCTTCTGCACACACACACACACCCATTCCAAATTGAGAATTAGCTTGCTGGTAACAGAGCAGATAAAGGAGTGTAATTCAGTTAATCCTTCCAATTAGAGTGAAACAGGACAGGCTTTAGAATGAAAAGACTAGAGTTCTAGTCCTTGATATCTGGCCGTCTTTCTAGCTTAGCAGGTCATTTAATCTCTTCATTTGCACAGTGATCCCCACGGTCCTTTCTGGTTCTAAAAGTCCAGGATTCTAAGTCATTCTTACCGATCTCAGTCTGTGTGTGTAGGTACACACACTTACACCCCTGCACACACAAATATATATTGCGTACGTGTTGTGACCACGTTACTGGATGTGACAACAGGTAAAGGCAGTACGTTATAACTACTATTGCATATTTTAAGAAAAGCAAACAGCTTTTTGAGGCCGAAGGAGCACGGAGTTCACATGCAGTCTAGTTTTCAAATATCAACTCATGGAAATTCTGTCTGCAAGATAGATTTCACAGCTACAGATTTTAACGTTTCGTTTTCACTCTTTTTCTCTCTATTGTTACTCCACTGAGCTGTGAAACTAGTTTTTGGCCAGAAAAATTCTATGATGCTTTTTAGAAATGTATTAGTCATTTGTATTTAGAGATTAACCCAGCTGATGCTTTAGCAATCCAGTTTGTGGAACAGCTTGATTCATGTCTTTGTGTCTCCACAGAGGACATCCCAGACTCGCCATCAAGCCCGGGGTCCCCTAAAGTTGCTCTTCTTCCACCTGTCCTGAAAAAAGTTCCCTCGGACAAGGAGAAAGATGGCCAGAGTAGCCCGCAGCCCAGCCCCAGGACATTTTCCCGGGAAGGTAAGAAATGTTTTCTCTGGGTTAGCTCTCCTCTCCCCAGGGAGAGTCATTTCAAGAGAAAGGAATTAATCCTGGGCTCAACTTATATCTTAGCATCTGTAAGTCAGCATCCCTTGGATTAAATTTTGGAACCAGAGCAGTTCTTCACTGAGAAACTGGATTCAACATTGTTGGTGACACTGGGTCTTAAAGAAGGACCACATACAAGGAATGAAAAGCACAATACTCCGCCCAAAGGCCTTTGTGATACGAATCTCTAGATGCTCCTGAACTGACTCCCAGTGGGTTAGAAGCGCCTCACACATTGTTTTGTGGCTTATTTGGTGCTACCTGTAGGTTTCTAGGTCCCATTATTTCTAGGAGGAGCTTTGGCTGGTTGTCAGTTACCATAGTTTTGGTTCATGAGTGGCTCATGAAAAGAGACCTTGTGTCTCATTAGTTTGCTTGGCCGTGAGGTCAGACGTTCCTTATTCTCAGAAGTATCACCTGCGTGGATGATCGCAGAGCATCATCACACCAGTTCATCCCTTCCAAGTTCCTGGGCTGGGAGCAGAGCAAGAAAATCCCGGGACTTGAAAGCCATCTCCCAGAATGAGATCAAATGTTATTATCAGTGGAGGTGAGGCGTCTTTGGGGTGAATTTAGCACCCCACTATTTCTTCCACCCACTTCTCCCCTTCTGTCCAATGCACAGTTGCCTTTGGGGTTCTGTCCTTCATAAAGTGTAATGTACCTGCCATCTCTAAGCCCCACCTATAAAGAAATTCTAGAGCCATCATCACCCCTGTCCAGATAGCCCTCAGTATGGTTTGGTTTGGTTTTAGATTTGTTTGATGCTTTAGAATTCTTTGATCTCATGCTGACATCTTCCTACCTTGGTCTGTTTTCTGTGATTAATGGCGGTCTTGGGTTAAAGTTAATAGAGAGTGTTTCTGAGTACTTTCTTTGTTAATTAGGAATCAAATGAAAAATAAGACAGCCTGCTTTCTCACTTCCATTCTGCAAATTTATTTGATGAGTCCAAGCTTCACTTACCTATTGGCTGTAAAGAAAAGAAGGTAGGGTTTTGACCAAAGCTGATGAGCCACTTTTGTCAAGCAGAAATGAAAGCCATGAAAGATGGCTGACACCTGTAGTTATTTCCCATGGGTTTAATGGGTAAATACAGGGTTTGTATTACAGTCACAGCCTTTGGAGTTCTTGGTGTAGAAAGAAACTGTGGTGGTGCCAGGTGACAGTGACTTGAGCTAGCAGGTGTCCCTGACAGCCCTGCTCATACCGCACAGTTCCTCCCCCATTCCTACCCTCATTTTCCCCTCTTTCTGCAACTGCTGACTGTGTCCTTTATGTATAAGGAAGCTTTAAAAATGCCTGAAAGAATTTTGTTAGAGAGAAATGGGGAAGAGCGGAGGGGTGGTAGCGGTCAGTAGGAATGCTCTTCTTGTCCGAAGTGGTTGGACTGTGGAAGGATTAAAAATAAAAGGGCAGTTGGCTGAACACAAAATAATTGCTTCACATTTTTGAAAAGTGCTGTTTTCTAAGACACCTGCCTATATGATTAAAACAAGG